CCTCCTTTAGCAAGTACAATTTGGACCAGCAATCTGGTTTTTAAGTGACACAGTCAATAAGTGTAACGTTTTGGAATGCTGACTCTGTGCTGGGATAATTAGCAAGGAGTAAACTAATGTTTGTATTTGCATTCATTGAAAAGGAAGGGATTACAAGAAAATAAGCAGGCACACAGTGTGGAATACACATCAAAAGAAATGTGCTGGCATCATCTGTTTGCCTAGCATACATGCTTCAGTCTCTGAACCCCAAATCTCTTAGAAGGCTAGCAAAAGCTAAAGATTCAAGTCTTGTCAGTTACTGGCAGCAACTCCAGCTAGCATCAATTTAGTTCACAGAACTTGTTAACTTGTGATTAGCACTTTTTAGAGAGGCACTGTGCTGTGGAGACAAGCAACTCAGCAAGAGATGTCTTGTTCAGGCAATCTGCTCTGCAAGTTGGGGGAGGGGAGAAAGAAAAAATGGACTGGGCATAGGACAATGCATACTAATTGTCTGTAACGGTAAACATGACTGAGATAGATGCTGTCATAAATGCAGGCATTGGTTGGAAAGTTGTAACTGCAAACCATTGCTGCCTCAGACAGTTATTAGGTCTACTTAAACGTGATTATATATCTTTTGTCAGAACCTTTAATTGCACTTGAAAGCTAACTAGCAGCCAATCACAAAGCAATGGTATTACATGAGCATATTATACATTGCCCGTAACTGACCTCATAGCTTCAAGGATAGCCTCAATAAATATGCACTGCAATAGCCAAATATATGGGTAGATTAGGATATGAGTAACTATTTGGAGGGCCTACTGGCTAAGGAAATGCAGAACAGGTACACCGGATGATCTGTGAGTTCAGAAACTCCTCCAAGTTGCATACCAATACTGAAAGAGAGAATGCTATCCCATCCAAGACTAAATGCTACCCCATCCAAAACTAAAAATTCCAGGACTGAAGCATTTAGCTGTGCAGGGACTGAGCCTGAGTCTATTCTTCCTCATCCAGACACTGGGATAGAACTTTGACAGCATCATTTGGGTGGTCCAAGGTCAAGATATATAACTTAATACCATAAGCATATTAATAATACCTGATGGGTTGATATCCTCATATCCCATGTACATTTAAACAAAAGGGATAAGAACATCAAGCCCTGAGGCATCACATAGACTATGGGCTTGGATCTCAATTACTCACCAACAACTAGCATCTACCACAAACCAAACAACATCTTGACCATCTACTATTGCCAATATTTTCTGGACTAAATTCAAAATGCAGGTCTTAACTTTTAAGCTTTAAATTTTTTTATTAACCTGGCTATTTTGACTTTTCAACATACAAATAGTTCCCTTGTCATCAGACTGATACTTAAAAAACAGCAAATCAATGGGTACATATCATCAAAATATTTTACAAGCAGTCTCTGGCTTGAATCATAACCAGAATTTTTTTAAATTAAAAAATGGCAACTAATGCTTGCGCATAATACTATACTGGAAACATAGGCTGCAATCTTGAACATCTAAGTATTCTAAAGCTCAATGTACCAAGGACACTTTTAATCTGTATAACAGGATGTAAAGTTATAGCCGAACAAAAACTTTTGTCTATGTGTCCACCTAGCAACAGTGAATAGAATGCTGAAGAATTTATCGCAAAGCTTTCTTAATGGACTATGATTAAACTCCATGAAATGCGAGTCCAGGAAATTACAGTCTGCCAAAAAGACAAACTAAATGTACAATTTCAGTTGATACAGACAGTATGTGAAGTAAACTGAGAACAAAACAACTAAGTACATCTTATTTATGTGAACTCGTAATTCACTTTGTATAGAAAGGCTATTGAGTCATGAACAGTTTCAAGGGAGACTCAACAGGAATTCTCATGAAAGTACAGAAAGGACCTTTTTATCAAATGAACATCTGCTACAGCTCTAAAAACTGATAAGCAACAGCTTGTTTTGAAATCTAGTTGTGCTGATAAGCCTGCCATTGTAAAAAGAACAGAGGGATGAATGCAGAACTGGATTTCCAAAGAGAAAGGTGTGGCCACTCTCTCTCAACCGTGAGGCCACATCAAATATCCAATAGAAAATCAGCAGAGCTTTTGCTCAAGCTTTAACTGTTTGTTACATTACAAAGCAGGAAGAGAGGACTTAAGAAATTATTTCATCCTGAAAAAAATGTGGAGGTGGAAAGAAAGAGAAGAGTCGGAACTGGAGAGACAGCTCTAGCAAAATCAAGCCTTCGTGAACACAAACTACGACAGGATCAAGAACAAAGATAGCTACAGAAAAACAGAGAATGACAAACGCAGTTGATGTAAAATAAAGAAATACTCATTACGGGGGCTGGGGGGGAATCATCCTCAAGAGTCTAATCCTTTGGTAGACCTCTTTGGCTGAAATATTAAAGTGAGAAGAAAAATGTGATTGATAATTTGATTTCCAACAGTGGTTTTATTTGCAGGCTTACACAAACTGCTTTTCATTTTATTTCAAGACTAGCTAATATGAAAAGTTTTGATATAATATTCTTGATTTATCTGCAATTCTAGAGTGGTTATATCAATGCTCAGAAAAAGAATCCTGATATGGTGAGGAAAAAAAATTAGTAATAATTAATGTTAGCCCTACACTACAGACATTATATTTCCTAACCAACAGAAATTGTGTTTCTGAAAGCAGCTGGAAATTAAACTCTCAATTTTCATTATAAGTCTGTTGTTTTGGGAAACAAATATTGTACACTAAAGAAACTCCCATAACTATCAAATTAATGCCATTCCAATTATATTTATTGTGGGTAAGAACCAATATATATTCCCCTTTAAAAAAAGTGAGTGTTTAATATTATTCTGTGGGTCAAAAATGTGCCCAAATCTTACAATACAATTTAAAATTCTGCAACACATGTAAATACTTAATCTATGCCAGGGGTCCCCAACCCCTGGTCCATGGACCGGCACCATCTGTAGCATGACAGCAACCGGGCTGCGCAAACAAGCAAAGCCCCATCCACGAGATGCAGGTAGCATGCAAAACCACAGCCCGCCCAGTCCATGGAAAAACCTTTCTTTGTGGAACCTGTCCCTGATGCCCCAAAGGTTGAGGGCCACTGATGTACGTTATGGCCATTGTTTTCAATATTAATGTTTACCTTTATTGTGAAATTATATTTAAAGAGATTTTGGGGGAGAATGGGGATTTGTGCATAAGATCTAATAGTCAAGGGGCTTGGAAAAAATGGTAAAGGAAATTAATTATTAATAGGAAATTAATTATAATGTAAACAATTTAAATAATCACAAGCCTTTTCATGAAATCGGTAGAATGTTTAATTAAAAACTCCTTAATGAGTGTTGTTAAAAAAAAAAATCTGTCTCCATTCTGCTCTGAGAGATCTGAGTTTCTTAGCTTGAGGTTACAAGAACAAATGGCTAAATGGTATACTTCAAAATGAAATAACCTCATGTATTTTATTTATAGATACATAAATAAAAAAATGCAGAAAAGTTTTAGATCCCCAAAGATTGATGCTTCTATTGAGTGAAATGAAATAGTCATTTTTCCATGTTCAAAGAACAAGAACTATTTTATTTTCTGTCATTTGCTATCTTCTAATTATTTGTCTCCCCTATCTGATTCTATATTTTTCAAATAAAATCTTCTAATTAAAAGTTTTCTGTTAATTCAAACATGCTTCATTTAATTTTCTGACAGCATGCAATTGTACCTTTTGGCTGTTATAATACTTTTGGCAGTTAGTTTTCACTAAACTGCTAGAGTTTTAAAAATATTAAAAACAATTTAAGGTGGCAACTCCACTTTGAGGGTTAAATAAAATATGTATTGATATTATAAATGATTAATACCTGCATAAATTGTAATAGGATTAGTATTTTGTTAGTTCTTAAATAGTCTCTATCCTTTCTCCAATCCCAAATGTTATCAATTCAAGACTGTCATTTGATATGCTCATTTAAGTGAATTGTTAAACATCTATTTATTAATACTTAAGGATAACAGTAAAGTACAATTTTGTATATTCAGATTATAACCTAATTTTATAGTTACAACCACAACAGATAGTATAACTATTTACATTATTTGCTTTGAGATCTGCAAATGGCGTCAAGATTGTCAGGACTCTTTAGCACTACGCCTGGAGTTCTAAGGAAGAACTGACAAAATATCAAAATTTAGACTTATACCAACATCATATATGTAGGTGAAAATGTTGCAGAAAAAATATTTGTAAGATTTAATCTGTATAACTAGTATTAGTACTGAGCTTGAAAAGTAGTTGTCAGACAGTGCAGTGCTGGCTTATTATGCTCCCAAGCATTCTGAAAAGTATGCTTCTGTAAAAATACAGTAAGAAATAGTATCTCTCTCTCTTTACACACACACACACACACACACACACACACACACACACACACACTCATCTATATATCTGATCTAACGACTTTCTAGATTACAGAATACACATTCTGTATTTTTACAGAAACATACTTTTTGGAATGCCAGAGAGCATAGTAAACCAGCACTAGCAACACTGCACTGTCTGACAACTACTTTTCAAGCTCAGTGCTAATACTAATTATACAGATTAAATCTTACAAGAAATTTTTCTGAGACGTGTTCACCTACTGTAATTTATAAACACTGTAATCAAAAGGGTCGTGCTTAAACATTCCTCATCCAACAAGATTAGGACTATGGGGCTATTTTGAAATGATAATCCAGAGTCACCTCAACATTAAAAATGAGTGCAGAAATTCACAGAACTGAAAAGTTATGGCAAAAAGACAGACATGTTGATTTGGAAGGGAGGAAACTTAAATATTTAAGCCAAAAATAAATATAAAATAATTATTAAGTTTACTGCCCCCAAGATTATCAATAGTAAATGAGTGCTGGCCCCCAAACAATTATGAATGTGCCTTAATATTAGGAGTATCAGTGAAAGATTGGACTGCCAAGTGCTCACCGGTATCTTTCTTCCTGTAGAGCCTGCATTATCAAGGAATAATCTCGCTGGTAGTGAACCTTGAGATCTTCAAAGGATTCCTCCAGGCGGACTTGAACCTCTCTGAGCTCTTGAATCTCATGCAGTATTGCATCAAACCCTGAGCTTTGCCTTTCCAGAGTGTTTGATTTGGAGCTTGGTGCTCCCAACAGGACACCTGCGGTGCTATTGGCTCCCACTGAGCCTGATGTAGCACTGGAACAATCCTCCTCACTGCCATACTTTGGGCTCAACTGAAAGTTATGAACACCTAAAGTCTTTCCTCCGGTCCCATCTTCTTGACTTTCTTCCAAAGCATCCTTCAGATTAGCAATATTGTCGGCACTTCCAAACTTGTTTCTAAGGAGTGAGGCAATTTCCCGAGGTTTAGAAGCAACGGCTCCAGCTGCTGAATGAGTTGCCTGGGAAAAGCTGGAAAGTCCACCTTTAACGCTATCTACCACTCCTTCACTGAAGCCAGTGACTTTTGCTCCTACATCCTTTAGCCCCTGGTGCATGTCCCTCAAGACATCTTTGGGCTGTCGATGAATACCATTCTGTTCAATCTCTCGCAGCTTCCGATGATAGTGCTCTAGCTTCTTCTGCAGCTGGAGGATTGTCTGGGATGATTTCTGGTTCTTCTTCTCAAACACCTGCTTAATCCGGGCGCTCTGCTGCTTGTCAGCATTATTGGCTAATTTCAGGTATTCGGCTACATTGTCATCCCGGGCAGTTTGCTCTATTTTGATTTGCTCTGTGAGTTTCAGTATTTTCTGCTGCAGATGAGTGATGGCCACTTTTGTGCGTTGTGGGTCTGGTGTTCCATCAACAGAATCTGCATTGATACTGCAGTCTGTGCTTGATGCCACTGCGTTAGTTGTTTGTGCTAGGCTACTTACATCTAATCGTTCGATCTGGAAAAAGAATTAAAAAATGAACATGAAAGTCTGATTGGATAATGGCAATGTCATAAAAAATGCAAACCAAGCCGAGTGAAAAAAATCAATAAATTTCAATAGGGCCATTAGCATCCATAAAGAAAATGATCAAAGAAATATGAATAGACTTTATGTAGTACTCTGTCATACATTTTTGTTTTGTGAATAGAGAGTGAATAAACTTAAATTTCAAAACAATTAGGTCTATCAATTAAATCCAAACCAGGTCTGTCACAATCCCTTATAAATTTACAATTATGATTGACTGCTATGTGCCTGCCTTGCTGATCATTAGGAACCACAAATCAACAAAAGATTGTTTAGCAACTTCAGCTAGGATTCCTGTGGAAATGGTAAAAACTGAGAGTTCAAACAACAGTGTAAAGCAGAGATGGACAATGTATTGTTTCCAAATGTTATAGACTACAACACCCAAAATCTTTAGCCATGGCTACACCAGCTGGGATATGAATTGGTTCCGAACATTTGGAAGGTACCAAGGTACCTTTCTCAAGTGTAATGAATCAGTTTTGGAAAGTATATATAATTTCTAGGCAATTCTAATTAGCTTATAGAGTTAAAATCTTTCAAGTTTATAGCAAGAATAAAATTCCCACATAATTTAAATATGTTTTCCAAAGTAAAGGTGCATACACAAACTTTAAATTCTGTACTGGAAATAGTCAAACAAAAATGGTTTTAATCATCTCATCATACAGATGTTCTTAACCAATAAATGTCTTCAGAATTCATACATGTAAGTAAAATGTAATTTACTCATCTATTTTCTAGCAAAGAAATCATTCTTACTCTAGCCTACCTTGGCTTTCCTGAGGCGCAAGACTTGTTCCCAATGCATGACTTGAACAAAGGACCGACATGCCTACCACTGCTCTGCTGAAAGCTCATCTACCTGTGATGCCTGAAAGTTATAAAACTAAGTTTCAAGGAAGGCAACTCACTACAGAAACTAGTGAATCATTTAATTACTCTGCAGCTCCTCCCCAAACAGGGAACTTGTTCACCAGCATATGAAAAATAGCAACATGACTTCATTATAAGCCAGCCCTTTATGGAGATAAAAGCTCTCTTCCTCCTCCTTCCTTAAAAAAACAGAACTGCCTAAATAAAATAAAAGCTGTAAAAGTTCACCAATGTGGAGTGTCCATATAAACACCAAATGTTTTTAAAGGCAAAAGGTCCTAATGGAAAGAATGATTTAGAACAGCCTTTTAAAACAAAAAGCAGAGTCTGTTGAGGAGAAATGCTAATTTCTTACTCATTTCTTTTCATACGTAATTGTTCAGAAGTTTCAAGAACTACAGCAGTAATTTGTTTTGAGAACAGGAATCACAACCTCCTTCTTATTAGCCGAAACAAACATGTATGTACCTGTGTGTCTGGGTATATGCCAGAAATTAAGAGACTGGACAAACTAAGCTCTGAGTAACCATATAAGTCTGAGTGCTTGTGAAGTTACAACTTCTGGTCAAGTGCTCCATTATCAACAATGGATTGAGTTGAAATAGAGAAAATTTCATTACAGCCTTCAACAAGGCTGCACATGAGATAAGACAGAAACTGAGATGTAATAAGGGCTATTTTAAGCTAATGATTGAAATAGAAATAATTTAGAGAGGGGGAAAAAGAGAAAATGCATGCACACATATAGAAAATGATGGCTTGAGGGAAAACATAACTATGCCATGTTAGTTAGACAGAAAGATCCCAAGAAGCAAATCCAAAATCTACAAAAGACTGATACAATGGAAACACTGGAATCTATCCACCCCTGTTCTAAGAAACAATGGCAGTATGTCTACTCTTGTGAAAGATTTATGAAGGATTTTTAAAGCTTTGCAACAGAGACTAGTTCAGCTGACAGGCATTGAGGGATGGGAGACAGGTACCTTTACCATGTTACCAAATGATCCATCCCAAAACTGGTCAAATCGTATTCAGGTTCACAAGGAGAACAATAAATAAATTACCAACACAAGGACGGTTAGTGGTAGGAGGAAAAAAAAAGACTAGCTCTTTCCTAACTACCAGTTGCCTGCTTGGCAACCTGGACGGGAAAAGCTGGCTCTTCTTCTTCACCTGTTAGACCTGGTCTTGGAGAGCTGGCTCTTTCAGAGGCCCTCCATTTCTAACCTCACCACAGATGACCTGCGGGACTGAACCTGGTGTGAATAAACAGCTGGTTATCCCTTTTCATCTGCCAGAATCTCCCAGCATGGGGATACTTGCCTGGGCTGGAAGGATGGCAGACCAACAGTAAAATATGGTTTTAAGCTGCCAGATCTCTTGATTCCACAAGGACTGAAGGTTCTGGAAGTTTGAAAGAACTCCCTGGCAAAGGATGAAGAGTCCTGATATGGCTAAACCCATCACAAGCCACTCCAATTTAGTTGTGTTTGTTTATTTCATCAATTTATATGGCTGCCCAACTTGCAAATTACGATTCAGTCAGTAGATATGCCACAAAGTCAGCTGAATTTCCTGGTTCATTCTCAAGAATAATTTCAGAGAATACTTTTCTCTGGAGGCTGGAATTGTAGATGAAGAGGGTCAAGGTTTTTAGAAGTTGCAACAAGTGTAATTAGAGACAGGTGCTATGCTTCTTTTAGAAAAAAATGCTACCTGCTAGTATCCCTAAGCTGTACAATTATTCCAAAAGACTATACCTATTAATTTGTACAGGTGATACCAGTACTTAGTTAAATTGTTAACAATGAGACTGGGTCTACTAATGTCAGAATTGAGTGAATATATTGAATCACGAAAGAGCAACAATTTTTAAATAAACATTAACTTTGACAAAAGTATAACTATTGCAAGTGATATGTATCATTTCAAAGGGGGTTATTTCTATAGGAAAGTATGCATACCTACCTATAAAAACTAGGTTACTTCTTTTAGAAATATCTTTCACACATACAGAGAGAATAACTTTACTTATTTTATGCATATACAATTCATAAAACAATACTTTAACTTAAAAAAAAAGGAGAGCCTCAAACAAAGTAAAAATTCAGACTAAGAGAAAAAGAGATTCATGTTTTATACTTATCAATAATCAATGATTTATAGTGAATACACTACTATAATATTTATCTTATATCATATAAGCCATTTGTTTTGAGCCAGTACTCTTTAACATCTTCATACGTGATTCAGATGAGGAGTTAGAGAGGGAACTCATCAAATATGCAGACAACACCAAGCTGGGGGGGAACAGTCAATATTTTGGAAGACAGAGTTAAGATCCAGAAGAATCTTAACAGCTTGAAGACTACGCCTTTCCAATAAAATGCAATTCAATGGCGAGAAAAGTTAAGGTTTTTCATTTAGGAAGAAAATCAATAGGTGATGCATGGCTCAATAGCATAACTGTGGTGTACTGCAGGGCTTGGTACTTTTCCACTCCTTTTCAACATCTATATGAAGCTACTGGGTGGATCATCCGTCACCATGGGTTGAGGTATATATTGTATGCTAATGACACCCAACTCTACATTTCTCATCCTGGACATTCATATTTCGATTTGTTACCTTCAGGGAAGCATTATAGGTGTCTTAAAATGAGGACTAATAGATTGAGAAACAGTTTCTTTTCCAAGGCAGTAATTGTCTTGAATCAAACAGTGCATTTGTGATTTAGTCCTACTATTATTAGTATAATTATTATTTTAATTTTTAAAAACTCCGTAGTGTAATTGTGATGTGGTGTTTGGGGCACTGTGCTGGAGTAGCTTTCAAATTTCATTGTATTCGTAGAATGCAATGACAATAAAGGTATTCCTATTCTATTCTATTCTATTCTATTCTATTCTATTCTATTCTATTCTATTCTAT